GGAACCCGGCCATATTTTCTAAGTTCAAGAGGCCGAAATCCTCGCAAGGGGTGAAAACCGCGTGAGCCGCGAGCTGCTCGAGTCATGGTTCTCAGGTCCGCAATCCAGCAACAAGCGAAATGACCTCCCGGTACCATATTCCGGGCTGAGATTTTCCCTAGGCAGGAGAATCAGTCATGTGGGGAGGTTGCAGGTGGCCAATTATCCCAGTGGCAGTGAGCCAATTTGCCAAGCCATCGCCACACCAGCCTCCAACACGGATGACGAAATCGCGGCTACTAAAGACTCGGACGCGGACTGACAATCCACCATCACATCAATTACGATCCCAGCGGTGGTTGCAAAAGCTGGTAATTACAGTGCGCATATGGACCCACGGCAGCCACGTGCTATAAATACTGCACTCATTGTGCCACCATTACCCTTATATGCGAGTGTTTTTAATGATGCGTTCGAGTGAGAATCCGAAACGTCAGGCCAATAAATTTCTTGCTTCAGTGATCGCACCTTCGTCTTCTGAAGGCCACGACATTTCAACCGTCGCATCTGACGGCGTCCACCGTGTGCTTCACTATAAGGTAAAGCAGAGACGGCAAGTTGCGCTTGATTTAGTTTTTGGTGAATGTAGACTTTCGCAGGCCATGAGACCCATAGGGGCAAGGATTAAGTATATGCGCAGGATAAGAATGTGCTAAACGTTGTTCAACAAATTCACCGGTGTTTTAACACTCCTGCTTTACTGGCAGACGGATGCACTGTAGTTAACGGCATTTCGAGTATTTTTTTAACTGACTGCCCTCCGTGTCGAATTTTTTTTACAAAATAAGCCTTCCTCTTATTAATGAAATATGCCTGAGGGTGCAGAAAAATGAAACAATGTAGAAATTTCAGCAACGCTTAATCCTCGGGACGGTACAGGTCAGCGAAGGTCATCCAAATGGCGAAAGTCCGACTAAACTCTATGAAACAGCACCTACTTTTAAAAATATTGCAGGCAGTTCTCAGTAGATTTTTCACCCAGCACATATACCTAACCCTTACCGTCGAAAGATCCACTGCCACGACAGGAAGCGTTTGGAGTAGTTTACCGGATCTGGTGCAGTTGCGGATTGAGCAACTACAGTGGAGAAACTGGGAGACTACTGCGGGTAGAATGGACGAAGACGAGGTAGCAGTGAGGTGGAGAGATGCTATCTCAGGTGGTGGATCATTTGATGGGACTCGGCCATTTTCAAGTTTCAAGAGGCTGAAATCCTTGTAAACGGTGGCAACGGCACAATTCCCGAGCTGCTTGAATCATGGTTCTCGTGCTCACAATTCATCAACCAGCGCAATAACCTCCCGGGTACTATATTCCATGCTGAGATTTTTCCTGGACAGGGGCGTCGGTCACGTGGAGACGGCGCGGGTGAGCAACAGTCCCAGTGATGACGGTCGAAATCGCTGAGTATTCGTCACACCAGCAACCAACACGGATAGCGAAATCGCAGCAAACTGATCGAGTGATCATCACGCATTCATCCAATATAGATGACGAAATCGCGGTCACTAAAGACTCGGACGCGGACTGACAAGCCATTATCGCATCAATTACGACCCCTACGTTGATTGCGAAAGCTGTTGATTATGACAGTTCGACCGTCACTTCCGACTACTTCCACTGTGTGCTACACAGCTACAGTGAGTGACCTATCTCATGAAATGTTGGCTGAAATTCTGAAATGCCTTTTCGATTAGGAAGGATTACTTGGTCGCGCTTGTAATACTGACTAGTTTGCGGCATACTCTTATAATATTTCGGACTCGGCAGGATGTCGGCTTTTAAATGCACTTCTTTTCAATCTCCTAAAGAAAGCGTACTCGGTAAAAAATGACTACTTTATTAGCATGCATTTTTCCCATTGATTTTCGATGGTCTTGGAAATTCAAAGATTTTCTATAGAAACCATAAACAAAATATGCTTTATTTTAGTCAATCAATAGAGAATCACGTCTCCTTTATATTTTATACTTGAGGAAGGAGTATAATTAGGTTTTAAAAAAGTTTCTAATTATGAGACTTTTTAAGACCGCACAATGTCCATTCACATAGCATCGTACCTGGCCGTTTACCACTGCTCCTTATAAAATGAACAACATGGTCCGCATCCATTATAAAATTTTATGGACTCTGTATGATATCTCTTTAATGGCATAGAAAAATATGTGATTTTATTTAAGCGGAACGCAAGCACCTTGCGGAATGAAATTACTAAGCGCTAACGCAACGAATGATCAGGCTCCAAATTATTCGGCAATTGGAAAACTTTTTTAAGACCTAATTATACTACTTCCTTAAGTATAAAATATAAAGAAGACGTGATTCTGTATTGATTGACTAAAATAAAGCATAGTTTTATTTATGGTTTCTATAAAAGACATTAGAATTTGCAAGACCATCGAAAATCAATGGGAAAAATGCATGCTAATAAAGTAGTCATTTTTTACCGAGTACGCTTTCTTTAGGAGATTGAAAAGAAGTGCATTTAAAAGCCGACATCCTGCCGAGTCCGAAATATTATAAGAGTATGCCGCAATCTAGTCAGTATTACAAGCGCGACCAAGTAATCCTTCCTAATCGAAAAGGCATTTCAGAATTTCAGCCAACATTTCATGAGATAGGTCACTCACTGTAGGTACAGCAGGTAAGGTGACTTGCGCATGAATTAGTATATAGTCGTGGTAAACTTGCACAGAAAACTACTGCACGCTGTTTTCCCCACCCCCCACCTGGACGCGGCGTCAAGACAGAGTCAAGAAAGCCAGGGGCGGGGGAGAGCGCAGGTCGCTGGCACGGCCAGACCCGCAACGAGGCGTGCACCACACCTTCTGGTCCACAGCATGCACTTGGTCATGATTTTTAATCAACACCAACGACAACATTCCAACAGGGGTCAGAAGGACGAGGGTGGTGACTGGGCAGTCATGCCCACCACCTGTATACCCAGCGGGAGCGCAAGCGCATCTACGGGCAGGGAACCAGGTGTAAAGGAACTTCCATCGCATTCCAGGCTGCGAGGGCCATGGTTTGCTGAAACGGCCATCGCACACGCCTTCAGGTTTTCGTGGATGCGCATGTAGCCTAATAGACTCCTGCGGGGAATAAATGTGAGAGTGCAGTGTGGACAGTGGAGGCGGATACAGCGAGTGTAGGTAGATGCGAAGAATTCGCGAATGACCCACCAGGTCGACGCGTGAGGTGATTGCACGGAGACAGGTTTGGGCATGAGAAGTCGGCGGTGTCAGTATCAGCTTCGGTGATGGTGATGGTCGAGTTGGTGGTAGTGGGCGTGCTGGGCGACGAGGTGTGGTTGTTCGTTGAAATGTTGGGCGACGGGATGTGCGTTGGGCTAGGCATGGTGGGTGTGCTGGATGTGCTAGATGTGTCGGGGCTTCGGTCAATTCCGCTGTCGTGGATACGCATGTGGTTTAATGTGACCCTTGCGGAGAATAAACGTGAGAGTGCAATGTGGACAATGGAGGTGGATGCGGCGAGTGTAGGCTGGTGCCCCAGACATTGGTTTGACAGTCTCTGTGCGATGGGCTCGTAAGTGACCGGCCAGGCAAATGTGTGAGGTAAAGGTGCGATCGCAATGCGGACAAGTAAAAACCCCGTCCTCATCGCTAGTGCTGGTTTTCTTGGTGTGTCAGGATTGTGTGTAGTGTTGATGGGCATGGCAGACGCCACAGCGGCAGACACTGAGATGCAGGAGGAGGAGGAGGAGTAGGAGGAGAAGGATGATGGTGGTGGTGGGTCTGGATGGCGGTCAGCGTTAGTTGACGGCGTGGGAGGCGAGGGAGAGGTGGACGGAGAGACGACGGTTGATGCAGTCCGGGTGCTGCAGCTGGTCCGCAAGTGTCCAGCAAGTCCAATTGACGCCTGAAAAGTCCATTGACATAGTGGACATGTTGGGGGCCGTTGGGCGTTGGGGTTATGTGGCGGCGGCGGCGTCGGCAGTTAAGATTTGTTTGTCCTGCGTTTTCCTTTGGTAGCGGATATGCAGTTGGCTTCGAAGATTTCTGCGCCTGTGTTCACTGTTCTCCTCCAAGTAAGTCGATCCGGGGCGAGGTCCTCTCAGTTTGTCGGGTAGATCTGCATGCGCATCAGGGAGATTTTCAACGTCTGACTTGACCTCCTTGTCCGCGTGAACCCGTCGCGGCGGGATGGGGAAGGGTGGAGAGCCGGGAAGCAGAGCCGTCCCGTACCTCTCTAAGCGAACTGGTTGCTGAAATATAAACAAAAGGCAGACAAATCCAAAAAAACGCATTGAGGCTACAATAATGACGCATACGAATAAGCAGACAAAGCGCAAGCAGGCAAGAATAGCAAAAAGCAAAGGCAAGAGGCGAAATTCGAGAGCACGACATTTACCTTTCAACAAGGGCAAACACAAACAAGCAGGCGGAGAAGAAGCAAGTAAAAACAAGCGAAAGCAAAGGCAGCAGAATAATGTTTGCTTACCATGGGGACCAATTACCTTGTAGCCCCTACGATGTTCCAGACGGAGTCTCATCTCGGAGATGCCGACGCGGTGATCAGTCCGGCCACCGCAGCCGAGATTACCGTAAGCCGAGATGCACACACGGATACCCTCACCCGCTTTAGCCTGTTGGTCGCGACGGTTGCTGGGCTCTGATCGTTAGGCAGAGCCTAGCTTTGCCAGAGTGTAGTTTGGAGTGCTGTTTAGTGATTCGATTGGCCGGAGAGGAGCGCTCTCTTTGTAAACTTTTGAGAAACCGTAGAATCGGGCCACGGTCGTTTCCTGCGCCCTCGCCACGCGCAAGTCTATCGGTGATATCGCATCTGGGTTCTCCATGGCCAACAACATCGCAATGATCTCGTGTGTCAACTATCAGATGAGGTTGGATCCGCACGGGACATAGGACAGACGATCCCCCAACAAGCGTTTGGCTTTCTGAATGTAGTCTGTCCTATCCAATACGATCGTGCAACGCCCCCTGTCCGCAGGCACAATAACGAGGTCATTGTCGGCTCTGAGTTCCTTAAGCGCACCAACTTCCACCTTGGAAAGCAGGTTGCGCGGCGGTGCCCCGTGAGGAGGAATGGAACATGAAACACGGAGGCCTAATACCTTAACATCTGCATTTTTTCCTCCGTCAGTTCCTTGGTCATTCCTCTGACGGTTTTTGCGAAAACGTAAGTGACAGTCTTGAAGGAGCACTCTGATCAGTCATCTGCCTTGCTGAAGTACTGCGCGTCTCGACAGCTCTGCGTTAACTTAGGGCTTGTATGAAACACACTTCCACAACACATTATTGTCGAGACAATTGCGCAGAAATTGAAGCGTCAGGCCAAGAAACTTCTTGTTCCACTAATCGCATCTTCGTCTTCTGAGCTGCTTACTGGAACTTGCCTGTTCTCATCTGTCGGCCAAGGGCACATGGTTGTCCGTGGGTTCTTATTCATCGCCGTACAGGTGCAATTCAACTCTCCTTAAAAGATACCCTCAAGCAAACCAAATCGGTGGCTATGATTTCCTCCGTACGGTGATTATTACCGATCGCAGATCAGTGTCTCAACTTCTGCTAACGTCCAAGTGATTGACTCAGAGCAATATGTGGTTGGTGTACGACTCTGTGATCTCTGCAAACAATCGAAAACATCCCCCTCATTCCGTTAGTCTTTTCGGGAGGATCGATTACGCATTGCTGCTTAACGCTCTCTAGGACGTTATTCTCAGTTGAAGAACAAATGACGAACGAGTACAGATTTATTATCATTGCACCACGAGGGGCTAACAGCTTTATAGTTTCCGTAGAATCGTTCAAACAACATTCAAGACCATTACTTCCACAACAAATGCACATATATTTTACTAAAGCAGGATTATATGTGTACAGGACAACGTCTTCCCAGATCACATGTCTTCCTTTTAGGCGTATGAGGGCGGCTAACATAGACTACTCCTGGAGCCCTTTCTAAGTAAAAAAAAAGTACAAAAATTCCCTTTGGAAGAGAAGGAGGCGCCGAAGGGATGTTCGGCAATCACCGTAACGAGGTCCAAATATGAACAGCTATTCTCCACCTCGAAATGCTCCCAAATATGGTAGACGACCCCTTTAAACGTTTAGAGATTGATATACACCGGAAACAGTTATTAGTCGACGAATTACAAAGACCATAAAGAGGCCTCCCGAAGCTTTTATCTCGAACGATGGCATGGTCAAGTCGTTAACATCGAACTAGCCACAGGTACGCAGTTGAACTAAACCTGTCCGCAATGGGTTTCGAACAGCCGCCGTTAGTTCACATCACTGAAGAGAGGGTGTATCCGATCCCCCTTAAGAGTAACAGGGACTCGTTATGCCCTAAATGTCATCGATATTGTCCCAAAACGCCAAGTCACGAAACATCGCATCCCAACGAGCCTAGATGACACGTCAGTTGTTCAATGAAGACTGTTCCACCTTAACCTCGTCGTCATACGCGACTATATATTTGTAAGCATAATCGGATCGGAGGATTTTGCAGGTCCACGACGTCAACACAGTAGAACGTTTTAATGTCCCCGGACTATAGGTTTTCAGTTTGAGGGTGGGGAGGGGGGCTTTTCAGCTGATATTCTGATATTCTACTGGCCGTAATAAATGCAGCGATTCAAGGGATTTCAATAGGGATAAACTAACTTAGTTCTGATGCAGCCTTTTGAAGGAATGATTCGTCTGGAAGGAATAATCAGATTGTTTGCACAATAAATTGATTTTTAATTGTGAGAACTTTTTTCATTCCTGCGGCATTCGTTACCAAAATTCGAACTGAACCTCTGGCTGTATGTTGCACAGTGGCATGAAAAATGGATACGTTAATTAGTCAAATATCAAAAGATTTTCAGTTCATTCTGGAATCTGGCGACGCTGCATCGTCAGTACACGAGTCGGTGGCCTCCGTTTCGAACTAATGCAGCAACACGACCCATGTAACGTAGGCCATTAGCCTGTATGGCCTACGTTTAGACTAAGTTCAACATGACAACCCAGTGGGGGGGGGTACATATCATGATTTTTTGCAGACAGCTATCCATGTTCATCAGTGTTTTTAAATAGCCGCCGCTGTCATCCCTGCAAACGAGCTGAATGGATCAGCAAAGTGTTTTCCTGGGGTATGAACTCAAAAAGTATGGATTTTGTTAGTCAAATCAGCATGCTGGTACGAGGTGGACGGAACAGCTGAAGTTTAAGTATTCCTACAAATAACTTGCTGTAACCCTTGACATATTGCTACTGCACACTTTCTGCCCTCAAGAGTTGATGCGAAGATGTCGTCAGCCAAGCATCGCACTTGACCAATCCCGTCTGTCAGCAACCTGCGTGATATCCGAATGCAGCCCGCGACTTGAGAGCCAACTTATTAGTGCACACATGTATACCCAAGGTCACTCGGTTGGGGATATTCCAATTGAGCAAATGATGACACTCTGAGCAACCTGTCGTCAGAAAGGTTAAAAAACGTACTATTGTTGTCACCAGTTCGTGGAAGGCGTAACACAAGAAATTAACCCACACAAATTCAGATTACTATGGCCATTAGTTACAAAGGTTGTAATAATCATTTAATGTAACGTTAATACTCGACTGCTAATATGGGGAACAAAATTCCACTTGAGATAATAATTGTATGAAATAAAGACCGACTTTTTAGTGTGCGAAAGTAAAATCGACCATTAATCAAATGCGGGTTTCGAGCTGTTAAAAATTCAAATTCAGGTGTAGTAGCTCAACGTTCGACCACATCCTCATTACCCATGCCAGTTTTCATGATGAAAACGAAGGGGTTTCCGAAACGTCTGTTCAAATAAATTTCGGTTCATAAACTCGTCTTCTTTTCTTCGCTTTCTTCTGAGGACGATCAATCCAATTAGATTTTTGACCTCGAATCTGCACGTAGGTATGTATTTATATGATGTAGATAGATGGCTCATTGGATAGAAATCGAATTGTACTCGGGAATTTTCGCGCTGGGAACACCAACCCATTGTCAGACGAAATAATCGGAGGAGAAAGTGAAATGGTCAAACCGAATTGGTTGGCGTGACAGGGCAGCCACTGATAGGCAAGCAACTAATGCATGAAATGGGGGTGGGCACATAATTATGCTAGCATCTGTGGCGGGTGAGGGGAGGAAGAACTGTTGATGTTCCCCGTGTTGGAGGGTATGGGGGATGACAATTCAATGGGATTACGGACAATGGACTTAATATTTTTCGATCCGGCATGCGGGCAGAGGTCAGTGAGCCAACGTAGATGTGTTAGCGATCGCAGTTGCGGTTCGCTGTGTGTGGGTTGGGGGTGGCGAAATTGTGCGATTGTGCATGGCTCAGTGTGGGTTAGCGGCTGCTGTTAGGTCGTGGGCGCAAGTCAGTGAGCCGGGCACGCAGAGCTTCGTAATGAGAGTCCAGATCGACAAGGCAGTTGATGTCCGCGAATTCCTTGAAGCCTGGCACTCTAACACGACCAGCGCCGATGTGCGGCTGATGGTTGGGCTCGATAGACAGCCCGTAAGGCACAAATAACGAGTGAGTTCCGTAAGAACGATCGGTGAGCACCCCCAACCATTGTATATTCCCGACCGAAACCGACTGGGCAGCGGGCTCGCGGCCCAGCGGTTGGAGGCGTGAACTTCAGACTATGAGGCCGCGAGTTCGAGTCTCGGGTGTTCCATGATTCGAGGTTGGGTATGACTGGCTGACAACGGCTAATAAGCCAGAAATGGTCATTCCAGTCTCCCTTGCCACTGCCGGTAATAACATACTGCCTACATCTTGCGCCGCTCTGCAGCTGCTGGTTGGGCTCGATATAGAGAGCCCGTAAGGCACAACGGAACGAGTGAGTCCCATAAGAACGATCGGTGAGCGTCCTCCACCAATAATATATGTATAAAAATATTGCGATCATAATTGCCCAAAGAAGACGAAGAAGAAGAGCGAGCGAATGCATAGACCATATTGTATTCGAACTGACGTTTCGGAAACTTCCTCGTTTCCATTATCATAGTGGCCTACTTGTTGCTCCTGCTGGTCTTGAGTTCTTCAGTCTTGCCGCTTGCTTCGTATCATAGGCGTGCTCGACGCACGAACTTTGACCTGCCTGTTTGCCTCTGACTGGCTTAGATCTCACCGGGGCTGACCGCTGACAGGCCTGGGCAGCCTTTGTTTCCTTTGGATTCGGCGTGATTCTAGTCAAATCAGCGTGCCCGTTGGCCTCTCCCACGTCAGCTGGTGGACTGATCGGTCGTCGCTGTTCATGTGAACATCGGTGAGACAGTGTTTGGCTTTGGTCACATGATCTCTGGTCCCAACTCCACTCCTCTCTGTGAGAGTTTGTTCTCGGTCCCGCGTGCTCGCTCGCCTAACTGATCCTGTCCGGACTGATCCGAGCCTTGTACGCAGCGCCTAGTAGGCGAGATGTAGATCTATAGCTCGGTTGAATGTACCAGTCGAGGACCAATTTTCGGGCACCAGTCTAGCCATCTTCTCATCGGCTCGATCAGTTATCCTTGCTTTCTCAAATGCAAAATCGTGGTTCAGTTCACGTACGTGGCCATAGACCAAAGACAGCTTGTCCTTACGATTGACTGAAAGTTGGTGTTCGTGCAATCTTGTTGCGAGGCGTTTGCCCGTTTCACCAACATACCTCGCATTGCAATTTGGGCATGGTATGCTGTAGACCACCGCCGACTGTTCTGTTGTTGGTAGCGGGTCTTTGGGCTCCATGATTTGCTGTCTGATGGTTCATTCTGGTTTATGAGCCACGCCAATTCCAAAAGGTTTCAGGATTCTCGCCATCGCTTCTTATACGTTCTTCACATAGGGTACTGAGAGCCAGGACCTGGGCTTTTTCTCCATTTGACCGTCCAAAAGGAGGCTTTTAGGGGCACTTGCGTATGAAGGACGTCGAGTATCCGTTGGCTTTAAAGATGGCCTGTAAGTAATTAATCTCCTACTTCCTCCCACTGTCGTCACTACAGTGTGTTTGAACACGTTGAAAAGGAGTTCTGAAACAACTGCGTTTATGACCAACAGGGTGGTTGCTTCGGAAGTGGTGGATGCGACTAGTATTTGTTGCCCTACGGTAGACCGTTGTCCTTATCTTCCCGTCCGTCAATCTCGTAACTTGTATGTCGAGGAAGGGCAACTGATTGTTCACTTCCTCCTCCATAGTAAACTAAATGTCGGGAAAGATTGAGTTAAACAATGCTTTGAAAGCCCTCATCTCGCTCCTCTTGATTACAACGAACGCGTCGTCGACGTATCTGGCCCAGAACTTGGGGGGGGGGAGGTACGAGCTGAAGACCAGCTGTTCGAGCTTCAGCAAAACTACTTCGGCAATTAGTCCAGACAGAGGCGAATCTATCGGTGTCTCTTCTTTAGCTCATAGACTTGGCCGTTGAATGTAAAGGTCTTAAGTCACGGTTCCAGGAGCTCGCTGATGTGGGCTCGTTTGGGCTGTTGGTCGGTCTCATCATACTTTTCCCGGGAAACCCATCAGTGGTGTCGATAGCCAGCGTGGGTGGGATGGAGGTGAATAATGCGGTCACGTCAAATGACACCACCAACTCATCTGCCTCCACTTCCAGAAGTTTGGTGCGCGTCAATAACTCTTCAGCCGACATCACTGTCGACTCCGGATCCTTGATAAGGAACTAAAGTCGCCGGCACAGAAACTTTGACAGACCAAATGTTGGGATACCACCTAAGGAGACGATGGGGCATAGCGGCACGCCCTGCTTGTGGACCTTTGGTATGCCCTAGATGCGCATCATTGCGACATCACTGGTTTTTGCGACAAACGCTTCCCTTCTCGTAAGGACTCCCGCCTTCCACAGCTTGCCGATCGTATAGTTTATGCTGTTTACGAGCTTTTTAAACTCGCTGACTATCGATGGCGCATAAGGTTCCTTGTCCATCAAGAGGTTGCCTAGTTTTGTGCACTGCTCAGTCTTATCCATGACGACAGTCGAGCGCCCCTTGTCGGCGGACAGGGTGAGGATATCCTTTATTTTTTGTATCTTCAGAAGTTCCCGATCTTCTGCTTTAGAAATCGTCATCTGGCGTTTGTGGTGGAGGAGTAAGGCCGACACTTGCTATCGTATGGCGTTTTTGCACTCCTCGCCTGTCTCACACTTTTGGTGCACCGATGTAAAGAATGCAATAAAGTCTTCCGGTCGAGCATCTCTTATGCTGAACTTCGCGTCGTAGGATGGAACCGCTAGTTGTCGCTGAGCTAAATAATGAGAGGACAAATTGTGAACCAAGACACCGTCAGTAGAGGACTGCTTTGACGGACTTATTTTCTCAAATCTTCCAGACAACTGGTCGTCACGCAACTTGAGGTGACGCCATGCACTGTCGAGAATTATCGCTTTTACGATCCCCAACTCGTGTGCCGTAAAGATCAACTAGCAAGTTGACAAATGCTGTTCAATCATGTGGCGGCATTTGTGAATGCGAGCGTGGCAGTCTCTCATCAGTACCAAGCGGTAAGACTGAACAAATCAAGACTGGCAGGAGCAACAAGTACGCTATTCTGATGATGAAAACCAGGAAGTTTCTGGAACGTCAGTTCGAATGAAATATGGTCCATGAATTCGCTCTCACTTCTTCTTCGTCTTCTTCGGGAGATGATGAAAGCGCTATATAAATATATATAGCAGCGAGGAGGGACGACAGAGAATGCGGGTAGATTGATACAGCTCTGTTTCGGGCTTATTCTGTCTTCATTCAGCCAATCATAACCCTGACCACCAGCAGCTGGGACCAGAAACACAAACATGCGCACAGACGCACCTGGCGCAGTCGGTCCACCACTGAGGCCTACCAGATGGGTCATAAGCACTTCATCGAACCGAAGTTCATCAGTGCCTCGCCACCTGTCATTCTCTGTCGCTGCAGATTGATAAATACCCGATCTGCAGCGACAGAGAATGACAGGTGGCGAGGGACTGATGAACTTCGGTTCGATGAAGTGCTTATGACCCATCTGGTAGGCCTCAGTGGTGGACCGACTGCGCCAGGTGCGTCTGTGCGCATGTTTGTGTTTCTGGTCCCAGCTGCTGGTGGTCAGGGTTATGATTGGCTGAATGAAGACAGAATAAGCCCGAAACAGTGCTGTATCAATCTACCCATCGCCTACGCTTACTGACATGTACATATGCCAATTTTGTCACCGGATATATTATTTATTTCGCTGCACTCGAAACGACAGCCCTACAACTGCTCGTACCACTAAAATTCGAGACAGTTTGTTTGTCTGTACAGACCTGACGCTTTTCCGATTATTTGTTCCTTTATGATACCTTTTCGAGTTTTTGAGATTTTGCAGTTGTTTGTAAACAAATAGGGTGTTCAAAGGTGAATACCTACATTTCCCTCAATAAACTGAACTGAACTGAACTGAACCCGCATTCTCTGTCGTCCCTCCTCGCTGCTATTATGACTTGGCCGACTTCGGCCTGGTAATTGGTTGCCTGTTCGTGACCTTTGCCACACATACGGAGCTTGTTTGCTTTGTGAAGCCAATAGATCGGTGTGCGCCCATTCCTGATTGATAACTACCCGATCTGCAGCGACAGACAATGACAGGTGGCGAAGCACTGATGAACTTCGGTTCAATGAAGTGCTTATGACCCATCTGGTAGGCCTCAGTGCTGGACCGACTGCGCCAGGTGCGTCTGTGCGCATGTTTGTGTTTCTGGTCTCAGCTGCTTGAAGATGACTGGCTCAAAACTCCTCGGTATTTGT